GTAAAGATTTAATTTTAAAAAAAGAAGGGGGAAAAAAAGCTTCTGTACTCAAACCGGTGTGGCTCAGTGGTTGAGCATCAACCTATGAACCAGGAGGTCACAGTTGGATTCCTAGTCAGGACATATGCCCAGGTTTTGGGCTCAATCCCCAGTGTGGGGCATGCAGGAGGCAACCAATCAATGATTCTCTCTCATCATTGATGTTTCTCTCTCTCTCTCCCTCTCCCTTCCTCTCTGAAATCAATAAAAATATTTTTTTAAAAACCAGAAAGCTTTCGCAGCCCCATCCTGGCTGGGAGGCCTTCCAGTGTGTAGCCCGGCTGAGCAGGGAAGGGTGGATGGTCTTAGAGTGATGTCTTCCGGCCGCTGTGGGCCTTGGGCCAGGCAAGAGACTCAAGGCTGCCCCCGGCCCCTTGCATTCCTGGTCCTGCGCCCAGGCAGGGAGAAAGCTCCTGCATAGCTCAGTTTTATCAGACAGGCAGCCATTTATAACATCCGACACCCCCCAAGCCATGGGCTCATGTTAGTATAACCATAATGATCATGATGACAGAGAGCAGTGCACTGAAGCCCGCGGCCCTGCTGGGTCTGTGCTGGCAGCTGACGTCCAGCCTCCCACGTGCTGCAGGAAGTCTGCCGCCCGAGCCCCTCGCCAAGCCAGCCTCTCCTCCTGTGAGGTCCTCTGCTGTGAGAAACCAAAATGCCATGGCAGCCCCTTGCCTGGGGTTTCAGGACGCCAGGCAGCTCCCCACCCCCACGCCGGGCTTGGCTGGCAGCCTCCATTGGCCCACAAGTGCCAGAGACACCTGCCCCGATGGGGGCAGATGAGCCCGAGGCCGGATCCTCCCACAGAAGTTGGTTAGAGTGTCACCCTGTACACCAAAATATTGTGGTTCGATTCCCAGTCAGGGCACATACCGAGGTTGTGGGAGGCAACCAATTGACGTTTTCTCTCACATCAATACTTCTCTCTCCCTCTCTCCCTCACTACTTCCCTTCTTCCCTCCTTCTCTTCTCTCTAAAACCAATAAACATATCCTCAGGTAAAGATTTAAAAAAAAAACACCACTACTAGTAAAACGCCGATTGTTAAAAATAGATCACAGGGACTGCTTTTAATATAGTTATAAGAACAGATTCCATTCATGTACTTTTCAAATATAGATGCTGAAGTGAAATAATGATTTCAAATCTCTTTAATCCTCAAAGCCCTTTGATGAATATTTTGTTAATCCCAGAAAGAGTGATTACATATCTTTGAAAGGCACAAATCGTATTTTTAAAACAAATTTGTCGCTATTCTGAGCACCACCTGTTAACTGATGGGCTTCAGGCAAGTCTCCCAAACGCTTACCCCTCGGTTTTCTCACCTGTAAAATGGGAACGACGGTCTTTGCGGTCTCACCAGGTTATACAAAATGCGTGGAGAGCACTAGGCGGGTGGTAAGTGCTCGGTGGGCGCACTTTCATTCTCCCAAAGACAGTTTCTGTGCTTCTGCTTGGCCAGGACAGGCGGTGGTCCAGGGGTTTCCTGTCTGGGCCCTGGAGGGATATCATTTCGGGTCACTAAGTAATGGTTAGAGAATCATTTTAGCCAGGGTTTTTAGTGCTTCGTGTGTGTGTTTTCCAAGTTTTCAGAAAAGAACAAATGCCATTGTAAAAAGCAGTGACGGCCTCCTGTGGGACCCTTTGTGTGTCGTTTTCTTGTCGAGGAACGAGCCACAGAGACACCCAGTGCAAACCCTGACCCTCTTGTCGTTGCCTGCACTGAAGTGAGCCACAGGCTGTGCCTCGCATCACATTGGGAGAAATGGCCGCGCTGCCTTAAAGCAACAGGGATGGGCAGACAGGCAGGGAGTGTGGGCCAATAAAAAAATACGTGGGCCCAGTAGGCGTGACTCAGTGACTGAGCATCAACCTGTGAACCAGGAGGTCACGGTTCAATTCCTGGTCAGGGCACATGCCAGCATTTCGGGCTCATTCCCCAGTAGGGGGCGTGCAGGAGGCAGCCAATCAATGATTCCTCTCATCAGTTTTATCAGACAGGCAGCCATTTATAACATCCCGACACCCCCGCAAGCCATGGGCTCATGTTAGTATAACCATAATGATCATGATGACAGAGAGCAGTGCACTGAAGCCCGCGGCCCTGCTGGGTCTGTGCTGGCAGCTGACGTTCAGCCTCCCACGTGCTGCAGGAAATCTGCCGCCCGAGCCCCTGTTTTTGTCTCTCTCTTCCTCTCCATTCCTTTCTGAAATCAATAAAAATATATTTTAAAAAAATACCTTTGGCCCTAGCTGGTTTGGTTCAGCGGATAGAGTGTTGGCCTGCAGACTGGAGAAACCAGGTTCGATTCAGGTCAAGGGCACGTGCCCCGGGATTGCATGCTTGATCCCTAGTAGGGGGTGTGCAAGGGGGCAGCCAATCAATGATTCCCTCTCATCTTCGATGTTTCTATCTCTCTCCCTCTCCCTTCCTCTCTGAAATCAATAAAAATATGTTTAAAAATGCCCTGGAACATTTCTAAGTCAAATTCGTATGCAAAGTGGCAGGACGGTCCTGCCGAGTACCTGTTGGTATGTCTTCACCTGGAATCCTGGGGCGTGATCCTGGGCCTGGGGATTGTGTTAGGTGCGCAGCCTGCCTGTGAGGCGGTAAAGCCAGTGTTTTAACAAGCCGGCTAGCTGAAAAGGACACTCTAATCACCATACCATTCATCCTGCCTAACAATATCAACAATAACCCCTTAAGATCACCTGATATCAGGACCACATTTAAATGTTCCCACTTTCTTTTTTACAGTTGGTTGGTTAGAACCAAGATCGGACAAAGTCCGAATATTACATTTTATGTCTTTTTTAAAGCATTTTGAAACTTCAGTCATGCAGCAGCTATCATGGTACCTCTGTGAGCAACACAGGAAAACTAGAAATTTTACTTTGGTCCTCTTTTTCTTTTTTATGATGATGATGATTATCATCTTCTTTATTACTTTTAATGAAGTTCTGTTACTTCGTTTGGTTATCTTATTTATGAGACTCATGCTTTGAATGACCTCTGCTTTTTCCAATAATTAAACCCACCTCAGTGCCCAGATATTTTCCTCCAATGAGGATAATTAAATCGACCTCAGACAGTGCTGTGGCGTCTTGGGGGGGGATTCAGAAGACGAGTTCCAAATAGGTTTGAGACGGTGAATCGTGGGGTGACAGTTCTTGGCATGCCCAATTTGAGGGATGCTCTTCCCTGGGTATAGAAATCAAAGATATATCATCACCCCCTCATTTGCAAACAGTGTGAATGCCAACATGCCTGGCTTACCTGTCCGAACGCAGGCTTTTTGATTTGCCACTGAATGTAATTGATGTGTTTGTTTTCCCACAGATAATCGCTTATCAGCCGTATGGGAAATCCGTGGACTGGTGGGCCTATGGCGTCCTGTTATATGAAATGCTGGCTGGGCAGGTAACGTTCCCCTGTGTTTTCATGCTTGTTTATCGCCATCCAGTGTGAACACTTCTGCTCCACGGGGACCGAGAGAGCAGGACCCGGCAGTGTGGCAGGACAGGGCTGGTCTGGCTCCCCGACCTGGTGAAAGGTGGAGAAGCGCCCCTGAGAGTGGATTGTATTCAGTCTGTACAGAAATTCTCTTCCGACCACAAAACCTGAATTGAAAGCTACCTCCTGGAGAATAGGCAGGGTATGGCTGTCACCTTATCCACAAAAGCCCCCTGCCCATGGCGACAACATGGCCTCTGTGAGTTTTCTTTTTTTGTTTAATATTTGTGTTGATTTCAGAGAGGAAGGGAGAGGGAGAGAGAGATAGAAACATCAATGATGAGAAAGAATCATTGATTGGCTGCCTCCTACACACCCCCTACTGGGGGTCGAGCCTGCAACCTGGGCATGTGCCCGTGACCAGAACCAAACCCAGGACCCTTCAGTCTGCAGGCTCTATCCACTGAGCCAAACCGGCCAGGGCTAGTTTTCAGTGGCTCAGCGCTGGGGTAGGTCCCTGCGGGCTTGTCTGCAGAAATCACCCGGTGCTGCCGTGTGTATCCACTGTCCCTGAAGACGTGCCATGGCTCCTCCCTGTCTCCACTCATCTCGCCGTCGGCAGCTCAGTATCACGTCTGCAAAAGTCCGGTGAGGCTGGACGTCCAGCTAAGAAAAGGCAGATGTGGTCTCTGGGGAATGTGCATCTAGCTGATAGCCGAGTGTGTTGCTGCTGTCGTGGCACTTCTAACATAATGGCCCCGAGGCCTGTATTGGAGTAAGTCACACTCGCCGTTTTAACAGGCCGCCTCAAAGCCTCAGCGGCTTAGCACGCGGCGCAGGCTTCTTTCACATTCTGGGCGCAGTCCTCCGTGGTGTGGGGGAGGGTAACTCGAATCCACATGGTGATTCAGAGACCCAGGCTTCTTCCGTCCCTTGGCTCCACCTTTTAGGGCCTTGAATTCCTCCACTGACTCCTCATTATTTAACCAGCCAATGAGGAGAGAGCAGGAGGACAGAGGCAGGAATGTCTAGGGGCCAGGCCTAGAGGTGGCACTCGTCACTCCTGCCTGCACCCCACAGGCCACACAGCCCTGATGAGATGCAGGGCTGAGAGGGGCACGTACCTGTGAGCCCAGCAAGGAGAAGGAGGTTCGGGGAGCAGCTACCAGGTCTCTGCCATTATACCGAAGAACGTTCTGTGGAGGCGGCTTTTATAGTTGCCAGCACTCAAGTACTGGTGACAAGGAGTTTGGCCCTCTGTCGCTAAGAGCCCGAGGCAGGAGAATGGAAAGAGATGCTTGTGTTGAGCAGCAGAGCTACCCCCGAAGAAATCTTTGTTTCGAGGCGGGTGGGGAAGAGAGTCAACCCTTTCTGACAAGTTACATCCACGGACTTGGTCGTTTATTCATTCAACACATACTTACTGAACGCACGCTTACTATGGTAACAGCCATGGACAGACATGACCTGTACCTTCATCAAGATTACAGTATAAAGAGAGAGAGAGAGTAGACACATTAAAAAAAATTGACTATATAATAGTTGAAAAGCTAAGAAGAAAAGTAACAAAGCAGGACAAGAACATAGTGTTGGGGCAAGATTGACATTTTAGCTAGTGTGGCCGAGGAGGGCCTTGTGTACAAATAAAGTTAAAATGAGAAGGAAATGAGGAATGTCTGTGTGCATCTCTGGGGGAAAGCACTCCAGGCAGAGGGACTGGAATGGCAAGTGCAAAGGCCCTGGGGTGGGATTATGTTGCCGTATTTCTTAAGCCAAGGAAGGGAAGCGCCAGTGTGGTTGGAGCAGAGTCGGGAGGCTGGAGAGGGAGTAGGAGAGGAGGCCTGCAGTCAGAGAGGAGGGGAGCACCAGGCCGTGTGTGCAGGGAGGCCACTGCAGACCACTGGCTTAGACTCAGGGTGGGAGGCCTCTGGTGATTGGTCCTTTATGTCTCTCTCATTGCATCTTACACCTCTTAATACTAGTCTTTTGGATATTAAAAGACAGAAGGTACCAGCCTTCACGTGGTCATTATTTCTCAGGGATGGTAAGACTTGATTGACATTTTAAAAAGCCGTCTATGTATTATTTAGGTTCTCATCCCCAGTACAATGTTGGTTTCAGGCCCGATACTTCCGTTTGTAAACACGGAAAAGCAGGTTATGCAGAACAACTGTCAGGAAGACAACAGCTGGCAGAACCCACATTGCCTGCTCCTCAAGTTAACTTCCCCCTTTAGGAGTTTGACCGTGAAATTGGGCTGATTCTCGGCCCCTGGGAGCCGGGCTGCTCCTGAAAGCACAAGGGCCTGAGTTCCCCTCCTGGGTCCCAGGCGAACGTTCTGACCCTCAGCCCAGCACACAAGCCTGCTTTCATGAAGAGGCCTGTGTGCAGATGCCAGCAAAGGAAACCGTAGGGTGCAAATGGGCTCTGGTCCAGGGTACGTTACAGGACATGAACGGAGCTGTCTCCTTACTGTCCGTCTTCCTTCCCCTCCAGGCCTCCTGGGTCTTCACTCTGCAGGGAGAGCTGGCAAATGCTGGCTCCCGCGGGGAGGGCCCCGCTGGGGTCCATTGTGAGGTCCTGCCTCACCTGCAGACTGGTCCTTCCTCATCCCCCGGAGAGCACAGGGTCCTCCCACTCCCTGCGGCTCCATAGACATTCTGGCCCATTTTCATGGTTTTCCATCCCGTCTCTCAGTCAGCCTGCCTTCAGTGGTCTCTGGAAGTTTCCATAATCTCCATTGAAAATGGTGACACTCTAAATATGGCACCGCAAGGCAGCCCACATTCAGGCTCATTGGCAAACACTGCCGCTATCCCTCTAAGCCAGGGGTGGGACCCTTTTATCTGCCAAGGGCCATTTGGATGTTTATAACATCATTCTGGGGCCATACAAAAGGATCCATTTAAAAATCGGCCTGCTGTATTTGGTCAGACATTAATTAACTCACGCTAATGCCTTGGCAGGACCAGACCAAATGATTTCGCAGACCTTATACGGTCCGAGGACCGGACGTTCCCCACCCCTGACCTAGACCTTCACCGCTCCTGCCACAAACACGGTGTTTTCATTCCAGAGCGCCCCCCTCCCCGACTTCCTAGTTTTCCTCTCTGACTCGATGCAAATTTCAACATATTCCTGGCCCGTGACTCAGCCCAAAGGATAATAAAGGCTCCACGTGTATTGCCCACACCCACCCCCTCAAAGCTGCCGGAACTCGGAGACCCAGCCGAGGGAATACATACTGTTACTGAAAAGTAAGACTAATTATAAAATAGCTGGTGGGGTTGTGGCCTAAATTTGTCCTCTGTAATCAAGAGAGCTGATGATGAGCAGAAAAAATCTTTCCTTGCAGTTCCCTTCTCATTTGCTTTATTTATGGTCAGCAGCCAGGGGGCCGTTCAGCATACGCAGCGGAGTCTGCGGTTCCGATTGCCTGACAAATACGATTACGTGCAGGCCTAACTGGTGTTTCCCTGGCGCTCTCATGAGCATAGCGGCTCCGGCGCTCAGGTGTTCCTCCTCCAGGGCCCCGCCCGCCTGCTCTGTCCTCCGCCAGGCCCCTCCATGTTATGCCTTCATCCCTGGTGAATCTGTGCTCGGTGCTTTGTCCCACGACACCACCTGATTGTCCTTGAGTTCTCCCCGACCCCACCCCGGTCACCAGTGACCACTTCCTGGTGAGTGATTTCGGAATCATTTTGGAAAGAGGGATCCATCATCCCTCGTTTGTGTATTTAACATTCACAAATTACATATTGCCGAGGAAGGCACCCCCAAGCCAGGACATCAGCTCACCCGGAAACACCGAGTCCAGATCTGTAGAAATTTAAGAAACAATCATGGGAATGCGGGGGAGAGGGCAACGAAGCAATACCCAAGCGGTCATGTCCTAAGTCCCTGGGCCACGCATTGCCCCCGGCGTCCCAGGCTCCGTGGCTGGCGTGTCTAGGAAGGAAAATGAATAATTATAACTTTTCAGCATTGCCCCGCCTTCAACGCCTGAGAGCAAATTAGCATATGTGGCCCTCACTCGGAGGTTACAGAGCATCGGCCCTGGACCAAAGGGTCGCGGGTTCGATTCCTAGTCAAGGGCACGTATTCTCTTTGGAGGAAGTGTCTCTTGGGCCTGTGGCCTGGCTCGTCTGTGGCTCAGCCCTGCCACGTTCCTGCGCTGGTGCTGACGTCCCCAAGGAGGCTGGTTGAACCCTGCCGTCTGTCGCTGTCCAGCCAGGTACCAGCCAGCCACCTCTGGCCAGCGTCATGGGCGGGGGCTATGCAGTCGCATGGGCCCAAGCTCAGAAGACACCTGCATAACTGGGCCGGTGCTCTGCTGTCGCCACCTTGACGTTCTAACAATTACCTCACGAGGCCCACATCTTCCCTCGGCTCTGAGACCCACAATGACATAGCTCATCCTGGCCAGCAGCCCTGAGGGGACACAATGTGAGTTGTCGATTGGTTATCCAGAGCAGAGCCTGTGCCCTGCTCACCTCCAGGGCACTGGGACATTGCAGGGTACCCACTCACAGCGAATTTGAGGAAGTGGGACCCCTGCAGGTGTGCAAGCTGCAGCCCCCACAGAAACCACACCACGTTTGTTTCAGTTATGAAAATCTCCTAGGCCCGTGGTCGGCAAACTGCAGCTCGCGAGCCACATGCGGCTCTTTGGCCCCTTGAGTGTGGCTCTTCCACAAAATACCAAGTGCAGCCACGCATGTACAATGCGATTGAAACGTCATGGCCCATGCGCAGAGTCGGTATTTTGTGGAAGAGCCACACTCGAGGGATCAAAGAGCCACATGTGGCTCGTGAGCCGCAATTTGCCGACCACTGTCCTAGGCCAAAGCTCGGCCACATGTAGGGGTCGCTTTTTAGGGAAGATGTGGTGTTCTGTGGGTGTCATGTAACAGGTGGCCAGGAGAAGTAGGCTGCGTGATATCGGGCCGAGAAGACTGTGGGATGGGCTGTGGGACTGGCCTCCACTGTCCCTCTTGCAGGTGCAGCCATACCCTCACGCCCACCCGCCCTGCCCTGCTCTGTCGATAGAAGTAGCACCTCCCCCTGCTGGCCCAGGCCACCATCTGCTGCCTGCACTGCCCAGTGGGGTGGCTGCCTCCAACGAGCTTGCCAGGTGGGCATCCCAGAGCCATGTGACTTCTGCCCACGGAACCCCACGTGGGGCAGGCTGCCCCTGCGCTGCTCAGAGTCACTCACAGGCGGGCTGATGGCAGCTCTCCTCACCCACCTGCACGCTTCCCCCAAGTTAGACGTTCGTAACCGGGCACTTACAACCAGAAAACGGGCCTATTTATTTCTATTTTTAGACACACACACCAAAAAAGCATGAGTGGCAGCAGTCACCCCATACCTGGTCCGAAAGTGGGGTCCTTTATAGGCTCGGCATCTTCCCTCTGTGGGTGTGGCTCCCGTGTGCCAGCCTTGCTTCCAGCTCCTGTTCGGGGCGGGGCTTGGGGCCGAGGAGGAAGGTGGGGCAGATGAACGCTGGGAAGGTTTGTGAGTGGTGGTAGGGGAGCACTCTGCTTAGTTCAGCTACTCGCTTACTCGGGGGAAGATGTTTGATGAGAAGGGACCACACGGCTGTTTTTGGTCCATGGTATCGTTTAAATTTAAGCCAGACTTTGTCATTATCTGAGCCCTAACCCTGTCAGCCAGAGGGACTGGAGTCCTCCCTATAATGAGAAGGAACATAAAGATGAAACATAGGACTCTTTGCACGAGGGCTGACCTGGTCTGCCTTTTGCGTGCTGAGCTCACAGCTAAGTTAAGGGGACGGTAAGCAGGTTCCCCTAAGCCCCCTTGTGCTGTGGGTTGTCCAGGAGGCAGGTGATTTGCTGACCTCAGGACTGAAGACCTTCTGGAGGCATCCTGGGCTCCCCCTTCCTCCCGAGGACCCCAGCAGCCCCCAACGACAGCTCGTCTACCTGAACCACAATACCAGTGCCACTAAGCACCCTTCACTGGGCTCTTACTGGATACAAGACACAATATCAGGCACTTTACAGACTCACCAGGGAACCATTTTGCAGATTGGAAAACCGTGTCTTAAGGAGGCAAGTCACTTGTCTCTGGACAGCCAGCTAGGAGGAGGTGGAGCTGGAATTCTGGTTTACGTCTGCCTGGCTTTAAAGCCGGGGCCTCCCGCAGAGCCACATGCCTCCCTCTCTCCACACGGAGCTGCAACTCCCCCGTCCCCCGCCTCCCGAAAAAGATGGGAGGTATCGGGTGGAAGCTGAGCTCCTGTCACCGCCACCACACAGGGGACAGCTCTGTGTTGGGTCAGAGGGGCCCTCACCCCATGTTCAGAATCCAAAGGCATTAGCATCCTCCACCCCACACCCCACCCTCTGAACACACAGCCGTCTAACCTAACTAGGTCATAATTCCATTTTAATACATAATTGCAAGATTAATGGGTTAATTATCATTTATTTGAAAAATCAAAGCATTACTCAGAAACACTTTTCTCAGAGATTGTTTTGGGTTGCCCAGGGAGAGGTCGTTAGAGGAGCAGAGGGAAGCGGGAAGGCATACCACCTGCTGCATATGCGAGGAAATGAAAGCTGGTCCAGGAAGCACCAACGCATCTGGGCTGAGTACAGCCTGGGGAGACCCCCGGTGTCGCACGAGTGCGGCCCTTGGGGCGCCACCTTCATCAACGACCTGCCTAAATATTTCTCTATCTTCCTCTTTTCCGGAACAGCCTCCGTTCGACGGCGAGGACGAGGACGAACTCTTTCAGTCTATCATGGAGCACAACGTCTCTTACCCCAAATCCTTGTCCAAGGAGGCCGTCTCCATCTGCAAGGGAGTGAGTGTGCTGGGTTCCTTTTAGGGTCACAGACCGAAAGGGTGGACGGGGAGATCTTTCCCACACTCCTTAGCAAGAGGGCGCAGGGACCCCGCCACTGCCTCCCGCCTTCACGGGCGAGGGTCTGGGGACCTGCGGGGCACAGTGGGGAAAGGGGAGCCTGGGACACGGGTTGACACCCCAACACCTCGGAAACTCAGTAGCTTTAGTTCGCCATTCTCCCCCCGCTCCCCATAAAGTTGTGGTGCCGTTTAGCGGAAGTGATCACAGACGCTTAGAAAACGTTAGTTCTCCTCCGCTGTACACCTCCCTTAGTGCTGTGCCCATTGCTCTGTTTTTGAGATATAAGACACATGTAGAAAAGGGCTCCCGTCATCTGTGTGCAGGCCAATGAATTGTCACAAAATGGACACGCGTGCCCAGCACCTCGAAGGCTGCCCCTGGGGATAATTGAAAGTATAGGGGAGGATGTGTGCAGGTTATATGCAAATACTATGCCTTTTATATGAGCATCTGTGGGTTTTGGTATCCACGAGGGGTCCTAGAGCTAATCCCCGTGAACACGGAGGGGTGACGGGACCTTATTAAAGGAACCCCACAGTCACGCTAATTCATCCATCACCTCACAGAGTCACTTGTTATTCTTCTTTGGAGAGAACACTTAATTCTTCTCTCTTGGCACACTTAAGTCGTGCAACACATTAATATCAACTGCAGCCGCACGTTATGCATTAGATCCTCTCTCCTGCTTCCAGCTGATGACCAAGCACCCGGGCAAGCGGCTGGGCTGCGGGCCCGAAGGCGAGCGGGACGTGCGCGAACACGCCTTCTTCCGGAGGATCGACTGGGAGAAGCTGGAGAACAGGGAGATCCAGCCGCCCTTCAAGCCCAAAGTGGTGAGTCGGGGCGCCGCCGCTTCCCGGGCCACGGTTCCCCAAATCCCGTGGGGCCCACCCACCCTTTTCCTAGAGAGCGGAAGGCGGTGACCCCTGGGCTCTGCAGGGGGAAGGCCAGTGCCTGCCTGGCCCTCCATTCTATGTCTGGGTCACCAGCATCCCTGCTGACTTTGAGAGTCAGGACAGACGGGTGGTGAGGGGAGCCCTTGTCCACTGGGCACTCCAACAGGGCGACGGCCGAGCGCCCCCAGAACCGTTAGAGAGCCGGGGCAGGGCTGCTTGGTTTGGATTTCATGGTCCGTGTTCCTTGCTGAGAGGCCTTGGGCGGACTTCTCCGCGGCTCCGGTTGTCCCGGACTTGCCTGGCACCCGGAACAGAACTCATTGGCAGGCCCTGGGCGCTGGTCTCAGCT